CCCGTCCTGTTTGATTCCTCCTTTGGGCTCGTTTACTAACGGCTTCGCTTGTCGGGGTGCTTCTTATGAAAGGTTCGGGGACACGTGAGACTCGAGTGCGCCAGAACTCGGGCTTGTCGACGCTTTTTGACGAGCGCGTTCCGGATTCTGACGGCTCAGTGTTCATGGGATGTTCGCAGCGGGAACCCACGTCAAATTTCAGATTGGGCCCGCTCATTTGCATGGTGGCCCCGTCGGGCCAACCCGCGTCCCCCGAGCCCGAGTCATGTGACTCCTCGTGGAGGCCGGCCGCGCGCAGAGCCTGGAAGGCTTCTCTTAGAAGCACCCCTGCCCGCTGCTCCGGAACGGCGCGGGCCGCACCTGTGGATGGGAGGCCGGCGCAGCAGCCTCCTTCCAAGAAGCCTGATCCCCAACTCCCCATACTCCAGATTTTGTAATAAAGGGAGGGGGGTCTCATTTCGGGGGGGGGGTCTCTGCCAGGCTATCTTGGAGGGCCTGGGGGGTCTGGGGACGATGTTTTGGAGGGTTCTCCCACGGGGGAGGTCTAAAATGGCTTGTCGTGGAGGGTCCAGACCCCCTCCCTTTTATTACCCACTCGTGCTCGCCGCCGAAAAAAGTGGTTCGACGGCGCTTCGCCAACCAACTTGTGGGGGTGGAGCTGGATGGACCACGGTAAAACAGGGCTAGGATCGGGATAAATCGCTCCAGAGCGTTCCGGAGCGCTCTCAGAGCGTTCCGGAACGCTCTGGAGCGGCCGCGGCGCCCAATACATCCTCCAAACCCGCCGATTCTCAGAGATTTCGAGTTATCCCGATCCGATTTTGTCCCAATCTTGGCGTCGTTTTACACGGCAGATGCAAAAGCATCGAGGTCCACCTTGGAAGCCCGGGTGGCTCCAGAGATCTCCCGGGGGACAGGTGGAGGAAATCGTGGCCGCTCCAGCGCGAGTCGAGGGACGCAGCTTAGCTCGCCAGAGACAGAGAAAGAGAACTACTACCACCGGCCAGGTGGCTGGCCGCTCCTCCCCCCGAGCTGGGGGCACCCCGTTCCGGGCGCGCCCCCACGGGGTCCCCCCGTTCCAGGCGCGCTCCCCGGGAGTGCCCGGGACGAAGTGCCACCAGCTCGGGGGAGGGGGGCGCTGGGAACGGAGTTCTGGTGGTGGTGGTGGCGGCTCTTCTGGCTCGCATGATGACGATCGCGAGGGGGCCCTCCCCAAAAGCGGGGCGCTCCGAGCGGGCGTCGGGAAGGTCGTTCGAGCGTTCGGGAAGGTTTGTGTTTTTTTGTTCGGCTCTGGGGGCCGTTTTCGGGCCCGGGAGCGTTCAAAGAACGGATCCACAATTGCACCAGATGGACCCGGGAAGGGGTTCGGGGACAGATTTTGAGCGGATTTGGTTTCACCCCTTTTCTCGGGACGATGGAGATCGGTACGGAATGAATGGGCACGAAGATTGGAATCGGTCCCTGTCTATTGTGCACAGGGCTCGCTGTCGGCGTCGCCTCGGACGTGATTCACTCGAGACAGAAAGCCGCCTGCCCAACGGCGGTCACTGTTTGTTTTGGGCAACATTTGATGTTGGGCAGTGTTCGAGGAAGAAATTTTGGCATAAGCATAAACTTTTGACGCTCCGCGCGGTTTCCTTGGATCCGCGCTGGGCCCACCCGGCGGCGCCTCCGGCGCCGCCCCTGGCGCCTTCCGCGTGCCAGGGAGGGGGGTCCAGCGCAGATCCAAGAAATCCGCGCGGCTCCAACAGTATATGCCTATGGCTATTTTCCTTCTTCTACTTTGGGTTGGGACAGAATCCGATGTTGGGCATTGCGCCATTTTTCCTGGGCTCCAGAGGCGGGGGTCGATGCAAGAGGGGGTCAGCCAGAGTGCCGGATCTTGCAGGATCCTGCAGGGCCAGGGTCGCAGTGACCCGGGTTTGGGTGCAGGATCCTGCAGGATTCTGCAGGATCCTTCGCATTGACTTGGGCTTGGGCGCAGGATCTTGCAGGATGTTGCAGGATTCTGAAAGGCTTGTCTGACCTTGGCTTGCATTGGCCCGGGTCAGTGAGTCCCCGATTTTTGTTTCGTACCCATTGCGAGCGTCCAAACTTACTCAACCGATCTTGAGACCCCCCCCCCGGCCGCCGCCAAAAGCCTTGTCTCGATTCGGGCCTGTCCCTCTACAGGAAGAATACTTTGAAATAGTAAAAAAGCAGTATGGGGATTTTTGTTTTATTGTTTGAATATGTTGTGGCATTTCTGGGCCATTCTGTACTGTGAAGGCCTTACGGCCGGTGCCGCCGACCCTAAAGGTTTCGGCCGTCGATGGCGACGGGATGTGAGATCACAGGAAGGAGACAAAGGACAATGTGACAGGGTAGGCGGAGGAAGTGTGTGAGGAGGAGGAGGATGAGGAGGAGGAGGAGGAGGAGGAGGAGGAGGAGGAGGAGGAGGAGGAGGAGGAGGAGGAGGAGGAGGGGGAGGAGGAGTGGCATTTTGGTGTAATGTTGCATTTCTGGCCCAATATCCGCCTGTAGGGGGACCTGCCCGACCCAACGCTTGCTACAGGGGAGGAAAAAAGGTACCCGTACGTCCTCGTTTTCCCCTTTTTGGGCCTCCCCCGAAGCCCTCGTCGCCACCGATGGATTCGCCTCGAAAGTCTTGTCAGAACGCGCCCTGGGAGAGGTCGGGGGAGTAGCGGTATCGGTGCCATTTGGTTTCCCCATTTGCCGTTTGTGACAGAGGGCCTCCCTCTTCCGAGCATGCTAGGCGAAATCGGGGGCGGGGATTCCTCCGAGCACGCCGGGCGCAGTCGGGGGACTGCCCCCTGGAGTCCCAGCCGCGAGGGCGTGGATATTCGGTCGCAAATCAGGGGATCCTGATATTGTCGATTCCGTTTTTAGCGTCGCTTCGCGTCGATTCGTGTCTGGGTGTCGACGAGATAGCGCCGGTTTAGCGTCGGCTCGCGGCGATACGCGTCGATTTAGCCTCGATTGGCGGCGACTGGCGTCGATTAGCGGCGAATCGCAAGAGCCAGCAAGCTGCTTTGGGAGGCCCCCACGCATTGCCACCGAAGCGAGGGCGTGGATATGGGCACGTTTGCCGTTTGTGAAAAAAGGGCCTCCTCGGAGCACGCGGGGCGGAATCGGGGGGTGGGTCGTCCTCCAGGCACGCCGGGCGCAGCCGGTGGGCAGCCGAGCAGGCCTCTGGTGCGGCCCCCCCCCCCCCGGGGGAGCTCGCGCCCTGCCTAGGAGCTCATTCGAGAAGAAGAGGGGGGATCGATCCCCATCCCCCAACCCCAGGGGAGGGGGGGGGCGGGCCGAACCCAACTGGGGGGTGCGATGACGACGACGACGACGACGACGACGACGACGACGACGACGACGACGACGGCGACGGCGACGGCGACGGCGACGGCGACGGCGACGGCGACGGCGACGGCGACGGCGACGGCGACGACGGCGACGGCGACGGCGACGGCGACGGTAACGGTAACGACGACGGCGAAAAAACCGCGCACCAAAGGTCACTCTTACCCAGGCTCGCTCTTGCGTGTAGCCGATTCTTGCACTACGTCCCCCGGCTCCCCCCCCCCTCGTCCGCGCACTTGCCTCGGGCCGCGGTGCGCTGACGCCCCTTCGCCGCGGCCCCCTTCCTCCCGCGCACCCTTGGAGGACGGTCGCGCCGCGTCGGCGTCGGCCGCATCGGCGCCGCGGCCGGCTGTGGAGCCCGTCTCTCTCCGCGCGGGCGGCGCCGATGCATCGCCAACGTCGCCGATGCATCGCCGATTGGCTGGCAAGCCGACCTCGTCTACAGGAGGCCCGTCGGGTGCGAAACGGACTTGCCAGCAGGTGCGCCGCCGAAGTGCCTCCATCCCCCCAAGTGCCCTAGGGCGCCACGGAAGCCCTGGGACACCTTGGGGCCCTCAAAGATCAGCGAGGAATGTGCCCCAGTATCGCTCAGAAGAGGATAACTTATCGTACGCTCTGCGTGGGATCACGCTCTGCGGCGTGACATCGAGGCGCTTGTGACGTGTCCGCTCTCGAGTGCAGGCGGTACGCGTAAGCCCACCAGCCCATCCAGAAACGATGGCCAGACGAGTTGCCCTGGTCTGGGATGCGAAGGAGTAGACAGTGGAATAAAGGGCTGGGTCAGACGTCATACCCGAGGAGGGGAAGGATGGAAGAGGAATCGGAGGAGGAGGAGGAGGAGGAGAAGCAGGAGGAGGAGGAGGACGAGGAGGAGGAGGAGGAGGAGGAACAGGCCGAGGAGGAGGAGGGCGAGCAGAAAGGCCAGAGGCCTCTGCGGTGCCTTTCGGAGTCTCTTCGGATGTCTCTTGAAAGTTTTTTGGAGTCCTCTTCGGGCGTCTTGGGGGGCCCTTGGTGCCACCGGGAGCATCTTGGTGCGTCTTGGGTGCCTCGGGGGAAGCCTCTTGGGGCCTCCTGGTGGTTTCTTGGGGGCCTTGTGTGGACCTCTTGGAAGCCTCTTGGGGCCTCCCGGAGGCCCCTTAAGTAGGGACCTCTTCGGGCACTCGGGGGCCATCTTGGAGGTGATCGATCAAAGAAGGAGGATTCATCAATTAGGGACTTCCCCCCAGGAGGCCAAAATGGGGCTGAAACCGTCGTAACATGAATGATTTGGCTTCCTCGCCGAGGCCATCTTAGACGCTCCAACGCGTCGCCAATCCTCCCGTCCAAGCCCAAGAGGGAAGACGGAAGAGGAAACTACCTAAACCACTCACGCTCAGAGGGCTGGTGGGATTCCACGAAATGTCCTTCCACGCTGACTTATAACACATACGTATTTCTTATCGTGCGTACGGTGGAGGCCAATGCCAAGAAGCACCCTGCTTGACTCCAGGGTGCCTTGGGTTTTTTGGGATTCGATGGTTTTGCGATGGAGAGCGCGACGTCCCCACACCAACCAATCCATGGGCGCTCTGGGGTCTCAGGGTTGGGCTTCTTGGGGATGGCTTCTCGTGGTCGAGCCCCTGCTGCATCCTGCGTGCTTGAAGTGCCCGGGCCCATCCAGGTGCGCGTGCTGCCCAATGGCGGCGCCGGGGACGGCCGTCTCGTCGAGGCCCCGCGGGCGCGGCGGCCAAAACAGGGCCCGCCGTCGGCCGGGTGGGAGGCCGGCAGGCGCGCCCTGCCCCACGCCCACCCAGGGCTCCGCGCCGCGCGCGGGGCCGCGGGGGGGGCAGGGCCATCGCGCTTTGCGCGCGCACACGCGCGCGGTCACACACACACACACAAACACACCCACACGCACACGCACACGCACTCGCACACCCACACGCACACGCACACGCACACACCCGCACGCACGCACACACTCATACACACACACACACACTCACACACACTCACACACGCACGCACGCACGCACGCACGCACGCACGCACGCACGCACGCACGCACGCACACACACACAGACACACACACACACACACATACGCACGCACGCACGCACGCACGCATGCACGCACGCACGCACGCACGCACAACACACGCGCGCGCACACGCACACACACACACACACACACACGCAAACACACACACACACACACACACGTGAGAGTTTTCTCATTCGTTGTTTTTCCGATCTGCGCGGGCACTCGCACCCCCTATCCCTCCCTCCCCTGATGGAGTAGGTTTTGGCTGTTTTCGGCGCCTGTTTCAAGCAGGTGGGGTCTCCTCCATGAGACGCGCTGCTGCAACTGGTCGCGCGAAGCAGTGGTCCGGAGCCAGACCCCTCCCCTGCGCCCCCCTTCCGCCCAATGCCGAAACGCCGAATATGAAAACGCTCACCACACACACGCACACACGCACACGCGCGCACACACACATAAGCCTCTCTCAACTAGCCTCCAACGCCTCGCGGGCTGGCCTCCTCGCCACCGGCCCCGTGGATGTGAGGCGGCGTGGTGCGGGTGTCCCCCGCGCGAGACGTGCAGTATCCACGGGGGCCGCGCATCCCTTCAGGGGCAACGGGGTTGCATCGACTCCCGATCGCCCATTCATCGCCGATGGGGTTCAGTCGGGCGTGTCCCTCTGCAGGAGGACTACCCCAGAGCAGTCGCAAACAAATCGTATGGGGACGACTTCTCCTTCGTTGTCCTACTTGTTCTTAGCATTTGTTGGCTTTTTGTTGGTGTCTTTTCTTGTGCCTGACGCAGGCTCCATGCGGGCTCGACGCGGATTTGGCGTGGATTCGACGCGAATTCGACACGGATTCGACACGTATTCGACACGGACCCGACGAGTCCGACATGGATTCGACACGGATTCGAAGCGGATAGGGCCGCGACGGGACAGACAAGGTCCCCCTGAGGATGCAACATAAGGCAGGTCTCTTTCTGAGAAGCCCTCCGCCTTTTTAACCAGGCTGGCTCCGTCGCCCCAACCCAGTTCGACGGCGAGCGATGGGGGGAAGTGAGAAGGAAAAGGCCTTCTCAGAAGGCTATGGAGTATCCCCGCCTTCTGAGAAGTTTCCTGAGCCTTCCTCGAAAACACAGAAAACTTCTGAGCAGGCGCGAGGGCTTCTGAGAAGTCCCGCCGCCTTCCGAGAAGGCCTTCTTCTTCTCACCCCCCCCTCCCCGCGCTGGCCGCCGACCTGTGGTGCGCGATGCCAAGGTCAAGGGGGAAAACCACCCCGACACCCCGCAACTGGCGTTTACGAAACAGTCCAGAGCTTTTACCAGGCAGGTATAGAATCGTTATATCATTCATTGTTTTGCTGCCGATCGGCGCGGGCCCTCGCAACCCCCACTCTCCCCCCCCCCCCTGGAGTGGATCTTGGGTGTCTTTGGCGCCTGTTTCAGGCAGGAGGAGTCTCCTCCATTGGACGCACTGTTGCAAACAGTCGCATTAAGCAGAGGTCTGGAGCCAGACCCGCCCCCCCTCCCCCCCCCTCCCGCCCAATGTCTGAACGCCCAATAAGAAAACGTTCACTAGTCCCGCTCTTGTCGACCCCTTCTTTGGCTGCGCTTGCAGAAGGGTTTCGCCGACAGGTGCGCTTTCTTTAGACGGGGGTTATGTTGCCCCCTACAAGATCCATAAGGTCTTGACGACTTTTCGCCATTCGACTTGTGGGGAGCGAGCCTGCACAGCGAAGGTGAATGCAGGTAAAAAGCCAAGTAGATCCATGCAAACGCGGCGAAACCAGGTAAGTCGACAGATCTGCATCAAAAGTTGTAGCAAATTGTGGCCGCTCTGGCGTGAGTCGATGGACGGCAGAGGTCATTTAAAGCCTTCATGGTAGGTTTATGCGGCGATGGCGCGCCGGCGACGCGGGCGATGGCGTTCAAGCTTGAACTCCGCATGATAGATCGACGCGGGAGCACCGAGGGGCACGGTAACCAGCACTACCGGACCCGACGCAGTTCACCCATGAGCGATCGGGGCCACTATCGGCTCAGGGTTGAACGATCGGCGCGGAGTCAAAAAGTTGTGGTCAAGTAGTGGCGGAGCGTCCTAGCTTGTCTCTAGGCCACCAACGAATGTTCTAAGAGCCTTGTGCGGTTCGCACTAGATGCTCTTGGAACCTTTCTGGCTGCGACTGTCTTCTTTTCTACGCGTCGGGGTTATGCTCTAAAGGCAACACCCTGTTCTTAGGACATGGTTTGGGGGGTCCAAGGGATTTGTCGTGGCAGGCCTTTCTTGGCATCGCTCGGACGTGTGCATTGTTCCTTCGGCGAGGACCATCAAGGAGCATCCCTGATCATTTGGCGAAAAACCCGCGCACGAAACCGAAAAAAGCACAGGGAGTGGACGTCCGAGCGATGCCCAGCTTTAGGAACGCCTGGACGGTCGGCCTCTGCTCGATCTGGCGCGCGCCGACGCCGCACGAGCCTCTGTCGCAGGCCTAGAGATTGACACCAACACCAACAGCGGCGGTGTGCATCTACCGAGGGAAGAAGGCCCCGATCTCGGTGATGGTGGTCATATTCTGGCTGCCGAGGTGACCGAACTATTGCCACCGACACCGAAGTCCAGGATCAATCTTCCCCGTGTGGATGCAGCTCCCTGCGTTGGGGTTGGTGCCCATTCCTAGGCCTCCAACCCTGGCCGTGGCGGCCGAGAGGTGCCCGAGGCCCCGACGGCGGGGGCGGCGCTGGCCGCCGCGCTCTGCGGGCACCTGCCGTGGGCGGAGCGGGGCGAGGCGCCCCGGGCGCGACCCCAAAGAGCCGGCGCTCCGGCGATCGCGTGGGCCGCTTTCGTTTCGGTCCCGTTGTGCAGCCAGGGCGGCTGGAAGGCGGCACGAGTTCGCAGGCCTAGAGGTTGACACCAGCACCAAGATCGGGGGTGCTCCTCCACCGAGGGAAGAAGATCCCGATCTCGGTGATGGTGGTAATGTTCTGGCTTCCAAGGTGGCCGAAACATTACCACCAACACCGAAATCTAGGATCACCTCCCCCCTGTGGAGGCAGCCCTCTGTGTTGGTGTTGGTGCCCATTTCCAGGCCTCCCACGAGGGGCATCGAAGCCAGAACACGGCCACGAAAAGCGCTGAAGAAATTCTCGTCGTCCTCCTCGTCCTCGTCCTCGTCGTCCTCGAGCGGTTGTCGTCGTCGTCGTTGTTGCCGATCCCTGGAGGAGCCCTTCTTCGTCTCGGAGCGAGCCGTGGTCTTCGCGCCAAACCGCGGCAACCTCGACTCCGCGGCGATGCACGCGGCCCTGCAGGCGCCGAGGAGAAGTCGAACAGGGGGAGCTACCGATACCCAGAGACACGCTCGCGTCGTAGTAAGAATCACGGCGGGAAGTTTTTGGCTGATGGTGATGACGATGACGATGACGATGACGATGACGATGACGATGACGATGACGATGATGATGATGATGATGATGATGATGATGATGATGATGATGATGACGATGACGATGATGATGATGATGATGATGATGATGATGATGATGATGATGATGATGATGATGATGATGATGATGATGATGATGATGATGATGATGATGATGATGATGATGATGATGATGATGATGATGATGATGATGATGATGATGATGTTCGGCCTCTGGGGGCCCTCGCCGGGCCCTGGGACTGCCAGAGCACGATGCAGGATGAAAAGCCAGCCCCTGGGAAAGGGCCGGGATTTCCGTGGACCGCGTATGGGGAACATCAGGACGGCGCATGTCTGGGTGCCGCTTTTCTTCCATCGTGTTCCCATTTTTGAGGCCTCCTGTGACGCCTGCGGCGCCACGGCTGGATTTGCCTCGAAAGGTCCGAGCGCACTTGTCGGGAGTTGTCCTGGGAGCAGCGGCACCAGAGCCGGTATCGGTTCCAGCACACTGGTTTCCCCAGAGCTAGGCAAACTGCACGAGCGCAGCTTGTCGGAGGACCGGTCGGGGTGCTCGGATCGGCGCTGGGCCCTGGTGCTTCTCGGGGGCGGAAAAGAGGGGGTGCTGACTAGAGGGGGGTGGATATCATGGCGGGGGCCATGATATTTCCCTCGAGTTCATGGCGCCTCTTCTTGTTCCATTGCGTCCCTGGCCCCCCCGCTGGACCGCGCACGTGCCGCCCGTCATGATTTGCACCCCCCCTCTTGGACACCCCCCTCTTGGCCGCTCCCGACAGGAAGGCCTGGCGGAGAGGCGGTAGGTTTAAATCGGGCCTGTCCCTCAACAGGAGGAATTCTCAGAAATAGTTTTTAAAATCGTATCGGGGCGATTGTACTGGATTGTACTTGGACATCCCCCTCTTGGCCGCCCCTGAGCTTCCGAGGCACGCAGGCCGCAGGCCGCAGGCCCTCACGAGCCCCAGCGCGTGCGGCGCGCCGGCGCGGCAGCGCCGCACGCGCTCGGCGCGGTGGCCCTCCTCCCCCGCGCCCCGCCCTGGCGCGCCGCCTCCGGGGCGGGGCGGGGAGGCGCCGCCAGTGGCCTGGCATCGCTCGGACGTGTGCGTTTCTTCTTCGGCGAGGACCATCGAGGAGCATCCTTGATCATTTGACGAGAAAACCACGCACGAAACCGACAAAAAGCACATGGAATGGACGTCCGAGCGATGGCGAGGTGGGGCCCAGCGGCTACACGCGAGAGTGGCCCTTCGCTGGAGTGGCCTCTGGTGCAAGCAGTGGCGAAGCGTCCCGGCGTGCCTGTAGCCCTACCAAGCAATGTTCTACTAAGAACCTCTCTTGTGGTTGCCACGAAATTGTCTTAGAACATTCCTGCTTGAGATTGTCGTGTGTTAACACATCGGGCGTCATGCTCTAAGAACATGGCTTTTGTTCTTACAACATGTTTGGGTTCGAAGAACATGTCGTGATAGGCCTATAGGGATGCCGGGACGGTCGGTCCCTGCCCACAGGGACCCCTGGCTGGAGTGACCTCTGGTGCGGACCCACCGGGGCTCCCCGATCGCCGAGCGCGAGGCGCTGACAGCGGCCTGCGCGCTTGGGCGTGGCCCTCCCTGCGCCCCCCAGGAGCCGCGCACCACAGGTCACTTTTGCCTCGCGCCGCTCGTGACGTGCAGCCGACGGTCCAAGAGATCCGCGCGGGCCTCCGACAGCCCGTGCTTTCGTGCCGCTTGGTCGTGCCTCTGAGGAGGAGGAGCGCCTGTTCGTGGTGCCCCGCCACCGGCAGTTCGTCCACCCTGCGGGCGAGCCGGGGCGCAGCGTCCAGCTCCAGGTCTCGGGCGCCGACGGCGCGCCGGTCGTGCTCACCACGCTCTCGAGCAGCCCTCGCGTCTTCCACGTGTCGAACCTCCTAGAGGGCGAGCACATGGACAGGCTGATGGCCGATGCGAGGCCGAAGTTCAAGCGCTCCACCGTGGGCGAGGCGCCGGAGGCTGCCAAGGGGATCCACGTGGGCGGGGAGCTCTTCGACAAGGCCGCGAAGACGTCGACGAGGACCAGCGAGAATGCCTGGGCCATGACGGGCGACGCGGCAATGACGATGAAGCGGCGCTCGCTCGAGATGCTCGGCATCCAGACCGAGACGGGCGGGTACGACGAGCGGCTCGCGGACGGGCTGCAGGTGGTGCGCTACCTGCAGGGGCAGGCATACCACGACCACCTCGACCACATGCAGGACTTTGATCCGCTCTGGAACTACAACGCGCACAGGTCGGAGGGCTCCGGCCGCGCACCTGCGCCGACTCTGGCCAGGCCGGTCCTGGGCCCCCTCCCGGTGCATCCGCCCTCCTGGGCCCGGGATCAGAGGGGGCATGCGCTTGGCCAGGATCGATGCACGTGTACAGCTGGCGTCCTCCTGACGTGAACGGCTCCAACCGCATCGCCACGGTCTTCCTGTACATGACCGACACCCCTCTGGGCGGCCAGACGGTCTTCCCGCTGGCCCAGCGGGTGCTGACGGAGGGCTCGCGGAGGATGCTCACGGACAACGCCTCGCGCTCGGGCGACGAGCTCGCCCGGGCCATGGAGGCCGCGCTGGGCGGCAGCGGCTGGGAGGTCTCGATGGCCCGCAGGTGCTTCGAGAAGCTGGCCGTGTTCCCGCGGCGCGGCGACGCCATCGTCTTCTACAGCCAGCACGCCGACGGCCGCGTGGACCAGCAGTCCCTGCACGGCGGCTGCCCCGTGCTCGAGGGGGAGAAGTGGGCCGCCAACCTGTGGGTGTGGCGCTCGGGAGACCCAAACGGATATGAACCTGAACTTTTGGAGGTCCGCACGCCGGGGAGAAGGGGATCCAGCGCCGATCCGAGAAACCCGCGCGGACCTCCAAAAGCTGATGTCTGTGCCATCTCTTTCAAGGGGCTTACAGCCCACCCACATAGTCAGGATGGGCAACCTTCCCAAGGGCACCCTTGCATCCTTGCCCCTTCGGCCAATCCTTCGCGACTTTCACTGGCCAACCTCGTTCGAAACACGTCAACGTGGACCTCCGAGGCCCTTGAATCCTCACCGCGCATCCTTATGATACGGGTTGACTGCATGTCTGTGCCACTTCCCTTATGCCTGCTCCGTTTCTTTCCAGGGAGGAAGAACCACCTGGGCCCAATAATTGGCGTTTACTAGACGGCCCTGGACGTTTTACTGAGCAGCCCCTGCCCTGTCTGATTCCTTCCTTGAGTGCGTTTACTGAGCGACCTCGCGTGTCGGGGTGATTCTTAGGAGGGGGGAGCTTCTGCTCCACTCCTCCTTCTCCTGCGCCTCCTCCTCCTCCTCCTCCTCCCTTCCTCCTCCCTTCCTCCTCCTCCTCCTCCTCCACCTCCTCCACCTCCTCCTCCTCCTCCTCCTTCTCATCTTTCTCCTCCTCCTCCTCCTCCTCCTCCTCCTCCTCCTCCTCCTCTTTCTCCTCCTCCTCCTCCTCCTCCTCCTCCTCCTCCTCCTCCTCCTCCTCCTCCTCCTCCTCCTCCCCCTCCTAGGAATGCGCCCCGCAAGGGGACGGTCGCCGCGTCCAACAACGAGCTGCACCTGACCTTCACCCTGGCGCGCGGCGCCGGCCTCGCGGCCCTGGTCCGCTGGGTGCCCGCGGACGGCCAGCAGGGCAACCAGGCGGGCGGCGCGGGGAGGGCCCCTATGGGCCTGTCGACCTTTCGCCCGTCGACCTGTGGGCATCGAGCCAGATAATCCCAGGTAAATGCAGATAAATCGAGGATCGAGCCAGGTAAACCCAGGTAGATGCAGATAAATCGAGGTACATCCCGGTACATCGAGAGAAATCCGGGCAAACTCAGGTAGGCCCAGGGATCTCCAGGGAAAGTTGAAGCAACGCTCGGCCGCTCCAGCGCGAGTCGAAGGACGGCAGAAGTCGTCGAGCCTTTAACGAGAGGGCGCGGGCGTTCGGCTTCGGCTGCGCGGGCAGCTCGCCTCGCGAGCTGCCCGTGCACGGTCGCGCAGAAGCGCCCTCCCAGCGACAATAATAACGACAGCAATGAACACAACGATAACAACAATGACGATAACGATCACAACGATAGCAACGATCATGACGATCGTCGTTATCGTTATCGTTGTGATCGCTACCGTTATCGTTGTGATCGCTATTGTTATGATTGTGATCGTTATTGTAATCGTTATCATTGTCGTGGGCAGCTGGCGTCTGGCACAAGTCGAAGCTGATTTGTTTCACGGATGTCGGCCTCTCGGGGCCCTTACTGGGCCCCTGGACCGCCAAATACCGACTCGGGTAGAACGGGGCGAGGACGAGGATCAAAATCCGTTCCAGAGCGTTCGGGAACGCTCCGAGGGCGCTCTGGAACCCTGTGATAAGACGGCCGCGGCGCCCGAGACAGCCTCCAGAGCCGCCGCCGGATCTCCGACATGTTCTGGCTCTGCCTTCCCCCCCGGAGTTCTGATTTTATCCCCACCCTGGCTGTGCCTCCTCGGGGGCCCGTGCCGGAGGAGGAGGAGGAGTAGGAGGAGGAGGAGGAGGAGGAGAAGGCGGAGGAGGAGGAGGAGGAGGAGGTGGTGGGAAGGGAGGAGGAGGGAGGTGGGAGGGAGGAGAGGGAGGAGGAGGGAGGAGGAGGAGGAGGAGGGAGGAGGAGGGCGGAGGAGGGCGGAGGAGGAGGAGGAGGAGGAGGAAGAAGACGAATATATAATAATAATAATAATAATAATAATAATAATAGTAAGAATAAGAATAATAATAAGAAGAAGGGAAAGATTAATACTAATACTAATACTAATAACAATAATAATAATGATGATAATAATAATACTAGTAATAAGAATAATAGTAATACTAATAATCACAATAATAATAAAATTAATAATGATGATAATACTGATGATAATACTAATAACAGCAATAATAAGTATTATTAATAATAATACGAATAATAATAATGATAATGATAATAATAATAATAATAATGAAAATAAGGCTTATACTAATAAGAAGAAGAATAAGAAAAAGAAGAAGAAGAGGAGGAGGAGGAGGAGGGGAGGGGGGGCCACTGCATCGCCTCCAGCCACTCGGAGGGCCCTCCAACTTCTGGTGTTGGTGGTGGAAAGCAGGCCCATCAAGTCTGGTGGTCTGGCGCGGGCCGCCGCCGGCTTGCGCAGGCCATGGGGGCTCCCTGCCGCGCTCGGCTCGGTTTTTGCGTGGGCCCGCCACGGCGGCCTGGGCCTTACACCCCGGGGGGGGGTGCGGCGCGGGAGAGCGCGGAGGCATCCCCAGACAGGATCGCGTCATAACAAAAATCAGGACGGAAGGGTTTTGGCTAATTTCGGCCTCGGGGGGCCCTCGCCCCAGGCCTCGGGAGCGTCACAAGACGACACGGGATGAAAGACCGGTCCCAGGGAAGAGGTCGGGATTTCCGGGGACCCCGTCCTGAGAAAATCGGGACGTCGCATGTCTGGGTTCGTGCTGCGCGAGCGCGGACTTGGGAGTCCTCGCGGAGGCCACAGCGTAGGGTCGCCGTGTCTCGCAGGCGATGTTGCTACCCCCCCCGCCTTGTCGACGAAGGGAAGGAAGCGGCCAAGGAGAGGAGGGAAGCCCTGGGATGCACCCCCAGGGGGCCCGTCGGACGCACCCCATATCGAGGATAGACGCCCCCCCCCCTGTGTCCCAGGGTTGGGCCCAAAGCTTGGGATAGGGGATGAGGAGGAGGAGGAGGAGGAGGAGGAGGAGGCGGACGAGTAGGAGGAGAAGGAGGAGGAGGAGGAGGGAGGAGGAGGAGGAGGAGGAGGAGGTCGTCACGACGAAAACATCCCAAACCCTTGAGGAATCGGGGTCGACCTATCCCCCGTCAGGGCCGGCGTGCGCACGAGGGGCCCCCGGCGCCCCTCCGTCGCCCGAGAGGTGGGCAAGCTGCAGCCCGGGGGCCCCGGCGTGGCGGTGAAGACCTTCGAGTCCCACCGATTCGACGTCTTCAAGGCCTCGGAGGACAAGGCACGCTGGCCACGCGCACAAGGGGGTAGCGGGAGGGGGGAGGCTTCTTAGAAGCACCCTTGCTTCTTAGAAGGCGCGGGCCTTCTTTGTAGATGTAAGGCCGGCGCCTTCTAAGAAGCAGCCTCCTTCTAAGAAGCCTTCCCCCCTCCCCCTACCCCCTTGTGCGCGCCGCCAAGCACGGCACAAGCATCCCCAGGCATGCTCGCGTCGCGAACAGAATCAGGGCAGGAGGTTTTGGGCTATTTCGGGCGTCGTGGGGCCCTCGCCGGGCCTCGGGAGCATAACAAAAACGACCCGGGATGAAAAGCGGGTTCCTGGCGCTTCGCCGTCTTCAAGGCCTAGGGGGACAAAGCACGACACCAGTAAACATGAGGGAGCGAAGAGATAAAGATCTCGGAGGTCCGCGCAGATTTCTCGGATCGGCGCTTGACCCCCTTCCCTGGCGCGCGGAGCGCACCAGGGGCGGCGCTGAGGGCGCCGCCATGGGAGTCCAGCGCCGATCCGAGAAATCCGCGCGGACCTGTGAGTTTTGTATGTTTATGTCATTCTTCCGCGAGGACGGCGAGGGCGATGCCCTGCGGAGACTGGGCACCGTGGTGGCCAGCACCCGGCGCTCGAGGGACGAACCACACGGACCATGCCCAAGGTGTCGTGGGATGATGCCGGCGCCGATTTTGGTCATGAGTCCATGCTGACTGCCGCTGGTTCGCGAAGGTTTTGTACGAATTGACGTTGGCCGAGATGGATGAGACGTATGTTACCCCCATCGTACGTAAGGACCCCATCCCAGAAATGATTTAGAGCACCCGGAAAGGTGTTGAAACAGGTTCGAACGAGTGTCTCCCAGGGCCCGACACGCGAAAACCCTCGAGGGTCGGTACTTTCTTGGTGCTCGAAATTATTTCTGGAGATTCAGGCTAAATTAGTTTGGAACATCATAAATCAGGAGGGGAGAAAACACACAGGCACAATTGAGCGGCGATTCCCAGGAAAATATGGGAAGTGGGGGGGAAGACAAAAACCCAGAAAATATTGGAAAATATGGGGAATCCTTTTATTTGTGTGTATTTATTTGTGTGTCCCAGGGCCCCTTCAGATCAATCCGGACTTGCGGGTCCAGCCACCCGCGCCCACTCCCCCATCAGATGCGACGGCGTCTGCGCAGGTTCGAAGGGGTACGGTCAAGGCGGGCGTGTCCCTCCACAGGAGGAACCTGCGAAAATACAGTCGGGGCGCTGAAGAAGGAACCATTTTCGTTTGGGGGGGGGCTCCGTGTTCCTTAGTTGTTTTGCAGTGCTCCTTGGGTTTGCCTGAAGTTTTCCATGGAAAATCGGAGTTGAGCTTGTGGGAAAAAGGGGCCTCGTTCCTTATTTAAGGTTCCTTAGGTCAACGCCCCAACTGTAGTCTAAGAATACTCTGGGAGTGATTTTTGACTTCCACGGGTAGCCCAGGGCATCGCCGAAGGATGCGACACTGTCCCCAAGCTGGACGGTGATCAAGATCGACACCGACGTTTCCGCGTTCAGTCTCGGGCGGCCACGCACAGAAGGGGGCCGGGGTAGGGGGCAGGGGGGAAGGCTTCTTACAAGCACCCCTGCTTCTTAGAAGGCGCGGGCCTTCTGTGTAGACGCAGGGCTGGCGCTTTCCAAGAAGCAGCCTCCTTCAAAGAAGTCTCCCTCCCTCCCGCTACTGCCTTGTGCGCGCGCCGCCAGTGGTGCGACGCCAAAAGCGGGGATCGTCGGCGCCAGCATTCGCGCGTAAGCTGCCCGCGTCAGCTCGCCGTAAACGCCCTCGTCTCCAATGTACTTAGCGTGCCGCGCCGGCGGCCCGCGTAAGCCACCGCGTAAGGTCGCTACGTCATCTCGCGTAAAGCCAGATTTTGATCGTCGCTCAGCTGGTCATGGCCCCCTGATTTCTCCTCCCCCAGGCGCGGCCGGGTCCAGACCTGGGTGGTGTCGGATGGCGGCGTGGAGCTGCAGGGGGGTTCGGCAGAGGCAACCGTGCCGGCGAAGCCGGAGCTGTGAGCCCCGGCGCACAGCTCGCAAAAAGCATGGATTTTCGTTGTCGTCGTCGTCGTCCTCGTCCTTGTCGTCCTCCTTGTCGTCGTCGTCGTCATTCTCGTCGTCGTCGTTGTCGTTGTCGTCGTCGTCGTCATCGTCCTCTGCCTCCTCGTGGTCGTTGCCGCCGTTCCCGTCTCAGACCCAGACCGCTTCGAGTCATGAGACGATCACGGCGGAGGGTGTTCTGCTTTGTTCAGCTTCTGGGGGGGCCCTTGCCGGGCATCGGGACCGTCAGAGAACGAGTCTGGATGAAAGACCAGTCCTTGGGAGTGGGACCTCTGGGGGTCGACGTGATGAACAAAGCCATGACGTCGAGGGTCTGGGGAGGAGGGCCAGCTCAGCCAACGGTAGTTTGATCTCGGAGGGGCCCCGCGTGGCCAATGCTGGGTCGGGAGGTAGATTTTGTGTTGCTGTTGTCTCAACGCGCGTTGTTTCGACCTTCTTCGCCGTCCTCGTGCTCGTTCCCTCCGTCGTCCTCGTCGTCCTTGTAGGCGTCGTCGTCGTCGTCGTCGTCGCCGTCCTTGTTGTCGTCGTCGTCGCCCTTGTCGTCGAACTGTCCCTTCTGAAAGCCAGTTAATGTTGATGCCCCCGCACCGATGCCCACATGTTTTTCCCAACCATCCTGTGGTGTTGGGTTTTCGCTTTAAACAGACAGCGCCCCTCGTTCCTCGCCTCGCCTCCTGCGTTCCTCCCCCTCCTCCCTCCTCCTAGTCCTCCCTCTTCTCCCTCCTCCATCACCATCATTTCGGCTCACCTCTCACACGCTTCGTGGCCCCATAGGAGCTCCGCCGAGTCCCAGTGGCACAGTTCGCATGCGTCCCCGCCGCTCTTTTCGGCACACCCCGCACACATTTCGTGGCCCCGTAGGAGCTCCGCTGGAGGTCCTATTGGTACAGTTCGAAGCCGCTCATTTTGACACACCCATCACACATTTCGTGTCCCAATAGAAGCCCCGCCGGAGGTCCCAGTGGCACAGTTCGCATGCGTCCCCGCCGCTCATTTCGGTACACCCCTCAAACGCTCCATGGCCCCATAGGAGCTCCGCTGGAGGCCCCAGTGGCACAGTTCTCATGTGCCCCCGCGGCTCTCACACTCGTGCCCCCATGGAATCTCCGCCGAAGGTCCCAGTGGCACAATTCGCATGCGTCTCGGCCATTCATTGTGGCTTTTGGCACACCCCTTAAACGTTTCGTGGCCCCATAGGATCTCCGCCGAAGGTCAGAGTGGCGCAGCTCGCATGCGTCCCCGCCATTCATGTCGGCTCAACCCCTCAAACGTTTCGTGCCCCCATGGGGGCCCCGCCGAAGGACCCAGTCGCACAGTTCGCACGCGTCCCCGCCATTAATTTCGGCACAACCGTCACACGTCTCGTGGCCTCCTAGGAACTCCGCCGAAGGTCCCAGTGGCACAGCTCGCATGTGTCCCCGCCACTCATTCCGGCACACCTCTCACACGTTTCGTGGCCTCACAGGAGTTCCGCCGTACAGTTCGCATGCGTCCCCGCCGCTCATTTCGGCACACCCCTCACACGCTCCATGGCCCCATAGGAGCTCCGCCGAAGGCCCCAGTGGCACAGTTGTCATGTGTCCCCGCCACGCATTCCAGCACACCCCTCACACGCTTCGTGGCCACATGGGAGCTCCGCCGAAGGTCCTAGTGGCACAGTTCGCCCTCGCCCCCGTCACAAGTTTCCACACACTACTCACACGTTTCGTGGCCCCATAGGAGCTCCGCCGAAGGCCCCAGTGGCACAGTTCGCACGCGCCCACGCCATTCATTTCGGCACACCCGTCACACGTTTCGTGCCCCCATGGGAGCCCCGCTGAAGGTCCCAGTGGCACAGTTCGGATGCGTCTCCGCTACTCATGTCGGCACACTCACACGCTTCGTGGTCACATAGAAGCTCGGCCGAAGGTCCCAGAGGCGCGCAGCCTGCAGGCGTCCCCGCCACTCCTTTCGGCACACCCCTCACACGCTTCGTGGCCCCACAGGGGGCTCCACTGGCGACGATGTTCACCACCGCGTGATTCACAGCTGCATATGGTTGGGTCCTTCGCCAGAGGCTGATTTCGACCTGAGGTGCGCCACTCGCCTCTCGCGCCCTATACTCTTGCCAGGGGCAGGCTTCAAGTTCAGACTGGGCCCCTCGGCCCCATGATCATCGCGACAGGAGGAGGAGGAGGAGGAGGAGGAGGAGGAGGAGGACGAGGAGGAGGAGGAGGAGGAGGAGGAGGAGTAGAAGAAGGAGAGGAAGGAAGAGGAGAAGGTGGAGGAGGAGGTGGAGGAGGAGGGGAGGAAAGAGGAGGAGGAGGAGGAGGGGGGTTGGTGTGAGGGGCAGGGGCAGAGAGGAGGAGGAGGAGGAAGAGGAGGAGGAGGAGGAGGGGAGGAGGAGGAGAGGAGGAGGTGGAGGGGGAGGGGGAGGGGGAGGAGTGGAAAGGAGGAGGAGGAATAGGAGGGGTGGGGTGAGGGGGGAGGGGGTAGGGGGGGGAGGTGGAGGAAGAGGAGGAGGAGGAATAGGAGGGGAGGGGGACGAGGGGTGTGGGGGAGGGGGAGGAAGAGGATGGAAGGGGGGGGGGGGGTGCGCGGAGCCCGCACGCCGTCCACCCCCCAGCCCGGCGCCTGCCCGCACACCGCCCCGGGCCCCGCCACGGGGAGGCGGGGCAGGCCCACCATGCCCGCGCACCAGGGCCCACCGGCGCCGGGGCCCGCCTGCCCGTGCACCGGCCCAGGGGCGCAATCCTCTCAAGGCGACTCGCACGCGCGCAGCGCGTTCGCTCGGCGGCGCGGGCGGGCGGGCGGCCCCCTGCCGAGAGCGGGTCGGGCGGGCGGGCCGCGCCCGGCGGGTCGGGCGGGCGCCATTTCTGTCCACCGTTTTGCCGATCGGCGCGGACCCTCGCACGCCCCCCCCCTACTGCCCACCCCCCCCTCCGGACCCTGAGATCCGGCGGAGCGAAAAAGAAATGCAACATCGTGAAAATCCGCGCCCAGAGCCCCGGGCCTTATCTTTCTGCGTCTTTTCTCGAGCCCGATCGGTATGTGAGGGGCCCGCGGGGCCCGAGACAAGGCGAGAACGCCCGGCTCGAAACAATCGAGTCGCCAAGATCTCAGGGGAGGGCTTTTTCGCGAAAGAGGGAACAAAAAGCGCACGACGTCGAGACGTGCACGGGCACTAGGGGCGCCCGAGCGGTGGCGAGCCGCTGCCTCGCCCCCCTCTCCTCGCCTCGGGCCCGCCGCTCCTCTGCCGCCTCGCCCCCCCGTCTCTTCGGCCGGACGGAAGGGGGGGAGATACAGTCGGGGCAAGAACCCTGTTCGTCGGGGAGGGGCTCCGCGTTCCTTAAGCGTTTCGCAGCTTGCCTCAGGTATTCCGATAGGACATCGAAGTTTAACTCGTGGACAAACTGGGCCTCGTTCCTTATTTAGGGTTCCTTAGGTCAACGCCCCGACTGTAGGGACTAAGGGCGGGGTACGAAGTCTGCCGCATGCAGCTGGTTTCGGCCCCGCCGCCGGGCCCATTCCTCGATACACTCAGTGTCCCTCAACAGTCCTGGGGGTATGCCTGTAGTCCAGGGTGGGTACCTGTAGTCCAGGGGGGGGGGGCCAGTAGTCCGGGGGGGGGGGTACCTGTAGTCGGGGGAAGGGGTACCTGTAGACCAGTGGGGGGTACTTGTAGTCCGGGGGTGGGGCCGCGCGGGGGTACATGTAGTCCGGGTGGGCGCGCATGTTATTCGTGGAAGCACGCGTGGCTCCACGCGCAGGGGCTTCGGCGCGCGGGTGTCTGCGCGCGCGGGACTGCACGCGCATCGTTGCACGCGTCACGCGCACGCGCACGCGCGCTGACACGTGCGAACACACACGCTGCTGCAAGTGGGGAGGGCATGCGCAGAGACATGCTTGGTGGGCCGCTGTGGCTCCCAGGGGATAGCGAATTGACGGGGTCCTGTAGCTTCGGAGAGGAATTTGTAGCGCCTAACGGGGGTACCTGTACTCCGGGGGGGGGTACCTCTAGTCCAGGGAGGAGTACCTGTAGTCCGGGGGGGGGTACCTGTAGTCCGGGGGGGGTACCTGCAGTCGGGGGGGTGTACAGAAGGGGTACCTGTAGTCCGGGGGGTACCAATAGTCCGGGGACCCACAACTATTGAGGGACACAGAGTACATGGCTGCCTCCCGGCGCCGGGAGGCGCCAGGAAAATCAGCTACGTGAGCTGATTCTCAAACCCCCCTTTGCTGTCCCCCCCTTTCGCCCGACCCGATTTTCTCTGCTCGGACCTGCCTCCCCACGGCGCTCCAATAGCATGGGAGCGGCGGGTTTGGGGCCGTTTTCGGCCTCGGGGGGCCCTTGCGGGGCCTCGGGAACGGGAGATCCAGCGTTCCAACAACATGGGAGCGGCGGGTTTGGGGCCGTTTTCGGCCTCGGGGGGCCCTCGCCGGGCCTCGGGATCGTGACAAGAACGGCCCAGGACGGGTAACCAGCCCTGGTGATCGTTTTTATTCATTGTTTTGCCGATCGGCGCGGGTCTCCCCCCCCCCCTGGAGTAGATCTTGGCTGTTTTTGGCGCTTGTTTCGAGCGGGTGGGGTCTCCCCCAGAGGCGGCACTCTTGCAAACAGCCGCAATAAGCATTAGGTCGGGAGCCAGACCCTCCCTGGAAGACCCGGAGCCCCGGGGTTCCGGGTTTTTCTTTTCGCACCGAGGGGGCAGAGCAAAACCCGGACTTCCGGGGTTCCGGGTTCCGGGGGTCGAGAGGCTTTGGAACTAGATGGAACTAGAGGGTTTTTGGACCCTCCCCCTCCCTTCCCCCCCCCCTTCCGTCCAATGCCGAAACGCCGTTTACCAAGAAACGCTCAACTGGGGAAGTGGTCCAGACCTCCGGGGCCCACGCCTCGACAGCAACCGGAGCGTCCGGGTGTCTGGGTCTCTCGGCCATGTACGTGGGAGGAACCTTTCGCAGAAGCGGCCTCTCCTGCGGACGCATTGGGGGTCCCAGAGGGCCGA